GTCCACCACAGTTGAGTCCTGGACCCGGGGGGCTTAAAATTCCAGGTGCGTGTGCGTGCGTGCCCAAGATCCCGAGAGGAGAATGGAGGAGAAGGGATTGCGGCGTGGCCATATCCCCCCTGGGGGGGGATTTTTCACTTTCTGTCTCTATGTCTCTCCCTGCCTCTCCTTGGGAGCACATGCACCCTACAGTAAAAATATCTTTTCTTTTTTTTTTTTTTTTTAAAAAAAATGTATTTATTTATCATTATTACTGAGTGCACTCACAGAGAGAGACAGACAGACAGAAAGAGAGAGAGAGACAGTGAGATAGCAAGCTGCCAGGTCAGGGTTTCAAACCGTAGTCTGCCATATGGGAGTCCAGTGCCTCGACCATCACACTGCCTACTGGCCCCAGCAAAAATCTCTGAAAAACAAAAATAATAAGGGGCCGGCAGGTGGCATAGTGGTTAAGGGCGCTGGACTCCCACATAGCCGACTACGGTTCAAGTTCTGTACCTGGTGGCTTGATTTCTCTCTCTCTCTCACTCTCTCTATGTCCCTCTCTGGTCATATTAAAAAAAAATAAATCATGGATAAAGAAAGTTAAATAAAATAATGCTTTAAAAAATATATAATCGACTTAAATATTTCCTCTATGTAGTTTTAGAACCACATTCGACAGTATTTGTCATTTTTGCTTTAACTGCCAAACACCACTTGGAAAACTCAAGAGGAGAAGAAAAACCTGTTTTTATTATTACTGTTTTAAATTTGCTTTAGGGGCACATGTGTTCACCAGAGACACAGAGAGAGAAAGAATGGGAAAGTGAGAAAGCAAGCTTCCAGGTCTGGGACTCGAACCAGTTAGATATGTGGGAGTCCAGCACCTTAACTGCCATGTCACTTGCTGTTCCCTGTGTGTCCTATTTTAAAATCGCTCTGTAATAGACACCCTCAGGCCCGTCTTTAAGGTTATTTTAAGTTTCAGTGATCTGGGTGCGGCCTCCTGACTACCAGCCCCGAACCACAACTCCGAGGCCAGCCCCCCAGCACATTAACGGACTCGGAGATTCTGCTTCTGAGCCACAGCCCGGCGTTACATCTCGACCGCGCCGAGGGCAGTGGGCTGATCACCACATCCCTCGGCCTGATGCCGCAAGGCTGAGTGGATGGCGGCGCCCACAGCGGTAAGACGTGACGCTACGAGGCTGACCCTCGTGACCTCCCAGAAGAACACACGAGGAGCACCCGTGTGCGTGATCTGGAGCGGGGGGGGGGGGGGCTGGATTTGGGTGCCGAGACTCTGTTGGGGGTGTTGTCTCACTCTGATTAATGAAATAAAAATAAATGAATGAATAAAACTGAAAAAAAAAAATACAGGGCCAGGAGGTGGTGTGGTGGTTAAGGTGCTGGACTCCCATGTGGTCGACCGTAGTTCAAATCTCAGACCCAGTGGCTTGAAAATAATGCCGAGTGTGTGTGTGTGTGTGTGTGTGTGTGTGTGTGTCCCCAAAATCCTGAGAGGAGTGGAGACGGGATCATGGTGTGGACACCCCCTCTAGAGGGTGATTTCTCACTTTTCCTCTGCCTCTCTCTCTCCCACAAGCACACGTACACTCAGGCAAAACAAAACGAAACAAAACCTAAACAAGAAAAAATAAAAAACTAACACCTTTTCCCCAAAAGAATAAATAAATATGAGCCAGTAGGTGGCACTGTGGTTAAGGCAGCTGGATCCCACATGGCCAACAGTTCGGTTCAAGCCCAGGACCCTCCAGCATGCACCAGGTGCGTGTGCGTGCGTGCCCCAAACCTGAGAGGAGAAAGGACTATGGTGTGGCCATCCCCCCGGGGGTGCTTTCTCCTACCACCACCCACGTCTCTTGTCTTTGGCAAGCTTCTCAATTTCTCTATCACAGAAACTGAAAAAAAAAAAAAAAAAAAAAGAATTAAAAAGAAGAAGAACTAAGGGAAGGCTGAGCCCCGTGTACTTCTCCCACCAGGCACTCGGACCAAGCTGAGCATGACCCAGAGCACTGGCTTCCTCCAATGCCTCATTTCATTTTCTGCTTCACCCACTTTTCCTCGCCACTCCTTTTTCGCTCGCTTTATTGTTTTGTACGGTGTCCTCAGGTAAGCAGCCTCACACCCCTTCCGGAGCAGGGAGGGGTGTAAATAAATACTGGGAGCGTCCCCCGTGCTGCTGAGAGAAAAGGAACAAAACACACGTCACGGCTCCGTTTGAACTAAGCTCCTGGGCTGGGCCGGGTGCTCGAAGGGCCATGAGCAAAGCGACAATAGAAAACCGAGGTCCCTGACCTCCAGGGTTGCAATGCAGAGGGAGAAGAGAGAAACTAAGAATAACCGCGGCAGACCGGCTGGGACAGGGACCTGGTGCCGGAAACGGGTAACGTGCAGCCCTGGTGCTGGCCTGGTGCCCGTGGGCTGCCCTGGTCCTGTGCCGAGATGCCGCAGTGAACTGCACCTGCCCCGCTGCAACTGTTACGACCTTCTGGAACCTCCTGCCAGCTCGACTGCGGGCTGGGCCCCGGAGGACAGACAGCTGACTCTCAGGCGTTGCTCAGCGGGCTGGCGAAGGCCCCTGGACACAGGCCTGACACACAAAGTGCCCAGGGACGACCAAAGGAAGTAGCCTAATCCCTCCAGAAAGCGCACTCATACCCTCTGCCCTCAAGAAATCCCTCTGGGAGAAAGATCCTGTAAGCAAGTAAGTTCTCCGCCACGGAGCTGTCTACAGCAAGGGGAGTTTATTCTATTTATTTATTTATAAGAATTACTTTATTTAACTTTTCATTTATTTATTTTAATTTGACCAGAGAGGGACAGAGTGAGAGCAAGAGAGAAGAGAAAGCAAGCCGCCAGGTCCGGGACTCAAACCGCGGTCAGCCATGTGGGACTCTAGCGTCCTTAACCACCACGCCATCTGCTGGCCCCAGCAAGGAGAGTTTAGAAGCTGAGGTCACTCAACTCAATCGAAAATTCTACACCAATCATGAAGACCAAAGAGACAAGTTAAGATACTTAATGAAATGTGAAAAGGGGCTGGCAAGAAGCATAACAGTTAAGGGTGCTTGACTCCCACATGGTGGACCGAGGTTCGAGTCCCAGGCCTGGAAGCTTCCTTTCTCTCTCTCTCTCTCAACAAATTAAAATAAATAAATAAAATAATTTTTTTGAGAAGTTTTTGCTATAGGGCGCGTGCACTCGCCAGGAAGACAGAGAGAGACAGAGAGACAGAAAGAGAGAAATCCCCCCCCAGAGGGGATGGCCATGCCACAATCCCTTCTCCTCTATTCTCCTCTCGGAATCTTGGACACGCACACACACGTGCCCAGCGTGAGTTTAAGCCACCGGGTTCAGGACTCGAACCACAGTCAACTACATGGGAGTCCAGCGACATAGCTGTGATGTCCCAGATTCCAGTGATTTTAAACTTTCATTGATTTAAAAACATACATGCGTCCAGCCTCGTGGCCTAGCAGCCAGATCACATATGGCTGACCTTGGTTCAAATCCCAGCTCTGACAGACTGAAAACACCTGGCATGCGCGCGCGTGCCCCAAACCTTGACAGGACAGAGCAATGGAAAAGCGGGATCGTGCCATGACCATACCTCACGGGTGGGAGTGCATTCTCCCTCTTCTCTGGCAGCGCGAGTGCCCCCTGGCAAAACTTTAAAAAGAGAGCGAGACTCGCTTTCTGCCTGACTGTAATGCGTGTTAGGGCTGGTCCCCAGGCCTGCTGGGTAGGGGAGCGGATCCCACACGGCCAACCACAGTTCGACTCTCAGCCCCAGGGGCCCCCAGCACGATGGACAAATGGAGAAGGGACTGCTATGTGACCCCCACACCCTATTTTGGGAAATCTCTTTCTCTTTTTCTCCTTTTCTGTCTCCTTGGTGAGCACATGTACCCTCTGGCAATTAAAAAAAAAAAACAGCTATTAATATAGGTATTTAAAAAAAATAATAGGGTGTTACATTGTGAAAGTTCTGACAGATTTAGGAAAAAAAATAAAGAAAATAAACAAGGGCAGATGCCCCTTCCCAGATGGGATAAACACTCTAATCACAGGCGGGACCATCAGCCTTTGAAGCTTTCTGTCCACTCTGCACACACAGGGTCTGCATGTGAAGCACACACAGGGTCTGCATGTGAAGCACACACAGGGTCTGCATGTGAAGCACACACAGGGTCTGCATGTGAAGTACACACAGGGTCTGCATGTGAAGCACACACAGGGTCTGCATGTGAAGTACACACAGGGTTTGCATGTGAAGCACACACAGGGTCTGCATGTGAACTTTTTTTCTTTTAGTTATTTTGTTAGCAGGCCTGTGTGCTTGCTAGAGAGTGTGCGAGAGAGACGGGGGTGGGGGGGCAGAGAGAGCACCCCATGGAGGCATGCTCACGCCCAGTCCCCTTGCCTCCAGCTCTCTCCCCTTTTGGGCCTTTGGGCACGCATGTGCATGTGCCTGCTGTGGTTCTTGAACTGCCGTCCAGGGCTCAAACTGCATGGCTGGCCACGCGGGATCAGCTGACTGACCCACCACACCACGGAGCCGGCTTTCCATCCGGATCCTGAAAGCCCAGGAAGAGAGGGCGACTGCCCAGGACATAGTGAGGGGAGCGAGGGGAAGAGGAGCCAGGCCGAGGGCAGAGCCTGGGCGCTCACACGCAGGGCGGTGAGCGGAGACGGCTGGGGGCGGGCGGAGGGAGGCTAGGAGGGCCCGGAGCTGCAGGAACCGGGCCTGGGACCCCGCAGCCTCTTCGTCACCATCCTCACCGAGCCCGGCCTCTGAGCTACCCAATCTGAGCAGGGTGACAGTGCCCAGCCCACGGCGAACAGCGCAAAGCAGGACTGGACCCGAGGCCATGCCCCTCAACACCGTGCCGGGGGGCTCTGAACGCCTGACGGGAAGCTGGCAGGACGGGAGACCCGAGGCCCCGGCGGGCCACGGCAGGCCCAGGCCCAGCGGCGCCCCACGGCCCACGTACCGTTCATGTTCCAGGTGAAGGCGTCGCGCAGCTTCTGCCCGTCGATCTCCATGTCCAGTCGGATGGGGACCAGCACCTCGGGCTGGGACGCGTTCTCGTGGATCACGGCGGGGTCGTGGTCATCAAAGCTGAAAGGAGATAAGCAGCGACAGTCGGCGAGGGAGGCCCGGCTCCCCACGACCGGAGCCGCCGGGGTACCAAGTCCAGCGGTCTCTGCACCGGAGTCGCCGCCAATCTGGTGAGAGGGGAAAGGCCACTTTCTGTTTTTTTGGAGAGGTTTTTTCGCTATAGGACACGTGGGCTCACCAGAGACAGAAAGCAAGAAGTCACCCCCCAGGGGGGATGGCCACGCCGCTATCCCTTCTCCTCGGGAGTCCAGCGACATAGCCATCATGCCAACTGCTGGTTCCCCCAAAGGCCACTTCTTAGCAGCACTTGTCAACTAACAGCTGAGACAGCACAAGCGAGGTCAGTGGGAGTCCCAAGGCCATTGTCAAATGGGGGATGGCAGGCCGTGAATGACCAGAGCGGGCCTGTCTGGAACAAGCGCTGCCAGGGGGCGGAGCTCTGCCATCATGGATGCTTGGGGAGCGGCCAGGAAGCTGCTGCCCCGGGCAGAGTGGAAGCCAGACCTGGACGTTCTCTAAGGGGAGACTGAGCTGAAAAGTGGCGGGGCTTTCCAGAGAGAGGCGGAAAAGGAGAAGCGCATCCAGAGGAGGAAGTATCTGAGTGGAGAGGGGAGGCCCCGCGGGACCCCTGTAGGCAGGGCGCAGCCGCAAGACGTGTGAGAATCGAAGCGCCCCGGGTTCTCCACCCTCAGGCTGGGGAATTTGGTGCCTGCACAGAGGGAGCCCCAGGAGGATTCTGAGCCAAGTTCTGCTTTAGGAAGGCGATGAGGAAAGAGAGGGCAGGCAGGTCACTGAGGGGGTGCTGGAGTGCAGGGAACACTGGAAGGCGCCTGCAGAGGCAGAGAGAGCCGAGAACGGCCCCGGAGAGCCGGGGAGGCAGACGACGGCCACGTGGAAACACGGGGGGAGGGTGGTGGGGGGGTCGAGGGAAGCAGTTCGGTTTGAGGTCATCAGGGCAGGCCCTGATTGACGCCTGGTGGGCTTACGAGGAGGAGGAGGAGGCCAGGGTGACTCAGGGACATCCACGCGGCTCTGCTCTCCCCTTGAGATGTGACACCTCAGGACTCTGCAGGACCCCACAGAAGTGGCCCTTGGGCTTGGGACCTCCCAACTGTGAGCGAAATAGACCTCTATTTGTGTAAATCATCGGGTTTCAGGGACTTTCTGTTCTTAGGAACAGAATGGGTTAAAGCGGTGGCATTCTAAAGCGGGAGGTGACACTCAAACTTGGGAGAGAGGAAGGAGGAGAGAGAAAAAAAGGAAAGGAGAGAGGTAAGGAGGGAGGACAGGGTAAGCATGGGAGGGGTTGGCCCCATCGAGCTCCAGCAGAGGGGGCCACGGGGTGGGAGCCCTGGGCGGCCAGCAACGGCCCGGGAGAGGCAGGGCCGGCTGGCAGCCCCAAGCGAACCCTGGCTTCTGCTCTGAATGTGACGGGAGCTGGAAGACTGCGTCGAGGGTGCTGCCCGGTGCCCGGTTCTTAGGTGAGGGGCCCATGCACCTAAGAACAGGCCCCGAGAGGCCGGCAGGCAAAATCTCGCCGACGTTGGACTCGGGACCAGCAGTTGGCGTAATAGCTATGTTGCTGGACTCCCACATGGTTAAGCGTGGTTCAAGTCCCGGACCCGGTGGCTTAAACTCACACCAGGCGCATGTGCGTGCGTACCCGAGATCCCGCAGAGGAAAATGGAGAAGGGATTGCGGCATGGCCATCCTCCCTGGGGGGTGATTTCTTGCTTTCTGACTCTCTCTGTCTTTCTGGAGAGCGCACATGCCCTATAGCAATTTAATTTAAAAAAAAAAAACAACAACAAAAACAACTCGCCAAGTGTGGACTGATCCATATGAGAAAAAGGAGCGGAGACAGAGCTCTCGGCTCCTGGTCTCGGCATGAAGCGTGGACAGAGAAAAAGCCGCTCCATCAGTCCAGGGTGGGTGTCCGAGTCTCTGCCACCCATGCCCCATGGTGAGGACGTCTGAGGGTGTGAGGTCCGCTGTGGAGGGAGGCCTGGGCCCCGGAGACAAATGCGGGGTGGAGGTCATGAAGAACACCCCCAAGACATCGATGTCCTGTTCCCTAAACTTCCAACGGCCAGACGTGATGGCGGGAAGGACCTCGGAGTGGCAGACCCGGTGGGCTCGACCGCTGCAGCAGCCTCTGAGAGAGAGGGCCATTTCACAGACGGAGAGCGGAGACTGGAGTGACAGGGCCACCCGCCAGGAACAGCGCCCAGAGCCGAAGGCAGCCCAGGCTCCACCTGAGTCCTGCGGGCCACACCTGGGTCTCGGTCGTGGGGCCCAACGTGGGCTCCTGGCCTCCAGAACCAAGAGAGAAGCCATCTGCTGCTTCAGGCCGCCCGGGGAGCGGCAGCTGGTTCCAGCAATCAAAGGATGTGGGCACGGCAGGAGGCACGGGGTGACAGCTGAGACCACTGGATGTGGCTGGGGTCACCTCGTGGGAGACAAAGGGCAGAGAAACGCCCCGAGGACTGTGCCCGGGAACCCGATTTGAGATACTGGGGAGGAGAGGGGACCATGGCGAGAGGCCAGAGCAGACCGGACCTGACGGGCAGGGAGACAGCGGAGACCACACTCGGGAGGGAGTTAGAGAATTAGCGCATTCCGAGAAGGCAGTGCTGCATTTGGGGAGCTCAAGGTCAAACACGGCAAGGTGCTGTTTCTTCTTCTTTTTGTTTTTTCAGGTTTCTGCCATAGGGTGAGTGAGTTCGTTGGAAAGAGAGCGAGGGAAGGGAAGGAATCAGCCCGGGGGAGGCCACACTGCAACCCCATCTTCTCCACTGTCCTGGGATTTGGGGCATGCACAAGCCCAGCATGATTTTCAAGCCACCAGGTCTGGGACTTGAACCACAGTCAGCCATGTGGGACTCCAGCTGACTTACCCCCCACGCTATCTGTGGTCCCCAGCAGCGTGCTTCTCTAGGGAGGAGGAGACTGGGCCGAGCTGGGTGCAGAGGGGGGCGGCGGGCGGTGCCGACATGCGCTCACCAGAGAGGGAAGGTCCTCTTCTTGTCCCGCCCCATGCGGTTCCTGTTGATGGTCGTGGAGCACGGCACGGCGTCCAGGTGGTGGGAGCTGTTGGGCAGGGTGGGCACCCACTGGCTGTTCCTCTTGGCCTTCTGTTCCCTGGGGACACACAGACACAGGGCAGCCCCCGTCAGTCTAGGACTCCCATCCTGCCCACTGCATGTGGCTGGGGTCACCTCGTGGGAGACAAAGGGCAGAGAAACGCCCCGAGGACTGTGCCCGGGAACCCGATTTGAGATACTGGGGAGGAGAGGGGACCATGGCGAGAGGCCAGAGCAGACCGGACCTGACGGGCAGGGAGACAGCGGAGACCACACTCGGGAGGGAGTTAGAGAATTAGCGCATTCCGAGAAGGCAGTGCTGCATTTGGGGAGCTCAAGGTCAAACACGGCAAGGTGCTGTTTCTTCTTCTTTTTGTTTTTTCAGGTTTCTGCCATAGGGTGAGTGAGTTCGTTGGAAAGAGAGCGAGGGAAGGGAAGGAATCAGCCCGGGGGAGGCCACACTGCAACCCCATCTTCTCCACTGTCCTGGGATTTGGGGCATGCACAAGCCCAGCATGATTTTCAAGCCACCAGGTCTGGGACTTGAACCACAGTCAGCCATGTGGGACTCCAGCTGACTTACCCCCCACGCTATCTGTGGTCCCCAGCAGCGTGCTTCTCTAGGGAGGAGGAGACTGGGCCGAGCTGGGTGCAGAGGGGGGCGGCGGGCGGTGCCGACATGCGCTCACCAGAGAGGGAAGGTCCTCTTCTTGTCCCGCCCCATGCGGTTCCTGTTGATGGTCGTGGAGCACGGCACGGCGTCCAGGTGGTGGGAGCTGTTGGGCAGGGTGGGCACCCACTGGCTGTTCCTCTTGGCCTTCTGTTCCCTGGGGACACACAGACACAGGGCAGCCCCCGTCAGTCTAGGACTCCCATCCTGCCCACCAGACATCACTTGTGCTCAGTGGACGCCCCTGCCAGGCTCTGGGTCCGTCTCTGCAGGGACCTGTCCTGCCGGCTCTCATGGGCACCTAGAGTCCCTGGGGGAGGGAAAGGGCATGGGGGGCGAACACCAGACACAGCATAGGACACAAGCTGGCCACTAACTCCAGCCATGGAGTGCCACGCTAAGTGCCCGCATGCTCCCAGGACCCACGTGCCTGACGCAGGAAAGGGAATAGGAGGTGGCTTCCCCGAGGGGCAGGCACTGGAGGGTTCACTGGGGAGCAAGGTCGCCTCAAGGGTTTGCACAAGAAGCAGGAGGAAAGAGGTACCCCAGGGAAAGGCCCGAGGCTGGACAAGACAGTCTTGACCACAAGGTCTTACATACTCCCTGGCAGGAGCCCAAGGGAAAGCGGTGCTCAAACCGAGGTTTCGGACCCGTGGCCATCCTGAGACGGACCGGAAGGGCTTCAGGCCTCTGAGCTTCCAGACGGGCAGAGGTGAGGAGTAGACCAGTAACCAGCTTCCAGAAGGGGACACCTGAGGGCACTGCAATTACCCATGTCTCCTGAAGGGGGCGCACTGTTTCCTCCAAAATCCAGGTAGCCTTTGCTACTGGACGGGGTATGGTGAGCCCCCCCCCCCACCTCTCACCCCAGGGAGCATGTACTCTCAGGAGAGACTAGGAGGAAGCAGGGGGGGGAGAGAAAGCACTTCCATGGGCGATGGCCCTGCCGTAACCCCTCTCCTCCATTCTCCTTACAGGACTGTGGGCACGCAGACACACGCGTGCATCTTTCTACATTTTCTTTGGTGGGGAGAGGTGTTTGCTATAGGGCGCATGTGCTCACTAGACAGACAGAGACAGAGACACAGAGAGACAGAAATCACCCCCCAACCCAGGGGGAATGGCCATGCCGCAATCCCTTCTCCTCTCGGGATCTTGGGCATGCACGTACATGCGCCCGGCGTGAGTTTAAGCCACCGAGTCCGGGACTCAAACCGCAGTCAACTACATGGGAGTCCAGCGACATCGACATTACGCTAACTGCTGGTCCCGATGTGTGTATTTTTCAAGCCACTGGGTTGGGGACTTGAACCACCTACGCACCATGTGCACTCCAACCGCCTTAACCACTGCGCCCCAGGCTGGGCCCCTACAAGCCATTTGAAACTGAGGCTCCAGTGCTGCATTGGACAGATGAGAGCACTCAGTCCCCACAGCGCTGTGTCCCCACTTTCCTGGTGAGCACCAAGAGGACAGCGACGCAAGTCACTCCCCTCACGTCCTCTGCACCCACACATGGCTGCTGCAGGAACTCTGAAAATTCGTCAGTGGGCGGGGTGGGCACCCACTGGCTGTTCCTCTTGGCCTTCTGTTCCCTGGGGACACACAGACACAGGGCAGCCCCCGTCAGTCTAGGACTCCCATCCTGCCCACCAGACATCACTTGTGCTCAGTGGACGCCCCTGCCAGGCTCTGGGTCCGTCTCTGCAGGGACCTGTCCTGCCGGCTCTCATGGGCACCTAGAGTCCCTGGGGGAGGGAAAGGGCATGGGGGGCGAACACCAGACACAGCATAGGACACAAGCTGGCCACTAACTCCAGCCATGGAGTGCCACGCTAAGTGCCCGCATGCTCCCAGGACCCACGTGCCTGACGCAGGAAAGGGAATAGGAGGTGGCTTCCCCGAGGGGCAGGCACTGGAGGGTTCACTGGGGAGCAAGGTCGCCTCAAGGGTTTGCACAAGAAGCAGGAGGAAAGAGGTACCCCAGGGAAAGGCCCGAGGCTGGACAAGACAGTCTTGACCACAAGGTCTTACATACTCCCTGGCAGGAGCCCAAGGGAAAGCGGTGCTCAAACCGAGGTTTCGGACCCGTGGCCATCCTGAGACGGACCGGAAGGGCTTCAGGCCTCTGAGCTTCCAGACGGGCAGAGGTGAGGAGTAGACCAGTAACCAGCTTCCAGAAGGGGACACCTGAGGGCACTGCAATTACCCATGTCTCCTGAAGGGGGCGCACTGTTTCCTCCAAAATCCAGGTAGCCTTTGCTACTGGACGGGGTATGGTTAACCCCCCCCCCCACCTCTCACCCCAGGGAGCATGTACTCTCAGGAGAGACTAGGAGGAAGCAGGGGGGGGAGAGAAAGCACTTCCATGGGCGATGGCCCTGCCGTAACCCCTCTCCTCCATTCTCCTTACAGGACTGTGGGCACGCAGACACACGCGTGCATCTTTCTACATTTTCTTTGGTGGGGAGAGGTGTTTGCTATAGGGCGCATGTGCTCACTAGACAGACAGAGACAGAGACACAGAGAGACAGAAATCACCCCCCAACCCAGGGGGAATGGCCATGCCGCAATCCCTTCTCCTCTCGGGATCTTGGGCATGCACGTACATGCGCCCGGCGTGAGTTTAAGCCACCGAGTCCGGGACTCAAACCGCAGTCAACTACATGGGAGCCCAGCGACATCGACATTACGCTAACTGCTGGTCCCGATGTGTGTATTTTTCAAGCCACTGGGTTGGGGACTTGAACCACCTACGCACCATGTGCACTCCAACCGCCTTAACCACTGCGCCCCAGGCTGGGCCCCTACAAGCCATTTGAAACTGAGGCTCCAGTGCTGCATTGGACAGATGAGAGCACTCAGTCCCCACAGCGCTGTGTCCCCACTTTCCTGGTGAGCACCAAGAGGACAGCGACGCAAGTCACTCCCCTCACGTCCTCTGCACCCACACATGGCTGCTGCAGGAACTCTGAAAATTCGTCACCTGAGGGGGGTGGGGGGCGTGTCCTCTAAGAAGCACGTGGGGAACGCAGCACGCATGGCCTTCTCCTTCCCACGGGGTGGTGGAGGGCCAGGCAGAGCGGGACGGCCTGGGCCAAGGCCTTTAGCTCTCTGCTCTGCGAAGGCTGGGGCTGGGGCTGGGGCTGGGTGGTGGCGTGGGGGTAATGGAACACCCTGAGGCTGATCCATGTGGGTAGGGTCTGGGTTTGCACCCGGAGATCTCCCTGAACACGCCAGCACACGTGTGCCTGTGATCGGGGCAGGCAGATCTGGGGGTGAATTGCAGTGTGAAGACCTGCTGGAGGGTGCCTCTCTCTGTCTGTCTCTCTCTGGCTCACTCATAGAATAAAGAAGCTTTAAAAGTAAATAAGGCTTGAGATGTAATGGTCACATTGCTGGACTCCCACGTAGTCGACCATCGACATTTCTAAGTACAAAACCAGGGAGCATTAAGGGGACTTGAACCACAGTCAACTACATGGGAGTCCAGCGACATAGCCATTACGCTACCTGCTAGTCCCAACATGCACACATTTGTTTTTTTTTTTTGGAGAGGTTTTTGCTCTTTTTTTTTTTGGAGAGATTTTTGCTATAGGGCACGTGCACTCGCCAGACAGACAGAGACAGAGAGACAGAAAGTGAGAAATCACCGCCCGGGGGGATGGCCACTCCGCAATCCCTTCTCCTCCACTCTCCTCTCCGGATCTTGGGCACGCACGCACACGCGCCAGGCATGAGTTTAAGTTGCCGGGTCTGGGACTTGAACCACGGTCAACTACATGAGAGCCCAGCGACATAGCCATTACACTAACTGCTGGTCCCAACATGCACATGTTTTTCAAACCACCGGGTCCGAGACTCAGACTGTGAGGTAGACCACATGGGGTCTGGCTTCCCTTAACCTTGGGGCAGCTCGCAATCTCCCTCTGGTTTCCAGGTCTGGACTGCTCTGTCAACCCTCCTGTCTGGGAGCCACCTCGCGAAAACAAGGCAAGTGAAGGCACAGGCCAGAGACACAACGGACTTTCACGCCCCCAGCTCAACACACAATCCGAGTCACTAAACCCAACCCTGTGTTTTGCCCACAGTATCTTCCCAGGAGCCCCAAGAGGGGACGCCCAGCCCCTGCCCACATTATCCAGTGACAGGCTGGGGAGGCTGCCAGTTCCCTGCTGAGCTGACTGAGCAGTTCCTTGAACCTCTGCCACCCCTACCCCACAGTCCCGACCTCTGGGGTAACAGGATTCCACACCCTCAGCTGCTCCTCACATGACATGATCATCAAGGGACCGTTTACTGCCCCATAAAAGGCTCCGAGCTGACGTGTGCAGACTTGAAAGTACCATCCACACGTACATAATTTCCTCCCGCACCTCCTCGGGAAGGCTTGGCCAGCCTTCTGTTCTTACTGCGTGCCTTGGGAGGGAACCACCTGCAGGGCACACGTCCGTAACACCCGGAGGCTGGATGCCTGCCGCCTTTCTTGTGGGGTTGGGAGGATCATCAAAATAACCCAATAGTCAAGTTGAGAGAAGATCTGGGAAGAAACCATCTTCCCTAACCACATCGCTCCGAGCAATAACCCTGGTTTTGTACTTAGAAATGTACATTTTCTTTGTTTAGGGAGATTTTTGCTATAGGGTGCATACGCTTGCTGGGGAGACACAGAGACAGAGACAGAAAGTGAGAAATCACCTCCCAGAGGGGATGGCTGCATTGCAGGTCCTTCTCCTCTACTCTTGAGATTTGGGGCGCACAGACACATGCACTGGGCACGCTGGGTCTGGGACTCAAACCGCGGTCAGTCGCATGGGAGTCCAAAGCCTTAACCATTATGCCACCTGCTGGCCCCGAAAATGTACATTTTCTTGAGAGCTGAAGGAACAGGGCATACTTGTGTATTCTGCATGTCTCACTCACATGAGCCATGTCTCTGGGTGCTACGGGGTGTACTTAACTACAACTACAAGGGCCACATCCTTGACCATTCAGTAGCTATGTCTTTTTTTTTTTTTAAGTATTTATTGAATTATATCTGTAATTATTCTTCTTCCATTTGACTAGAGAGACAGAAATAAAGTTTGAAAGCAAGCTGCCAGATCTGGGACTCGAACCACGGTCAGCCATGTGGGAGTCCAGCACCCGAATCCCCGGCCACCTGCCAGCCCCAAGCAGCTACATATTTAGACACCAGGACTTTCTCAAAGTCTGCAGAGAATGTCTCTGCACCCTCCACAAGGGCCACATCCTTGACCATTCAGTAGCTGTGTCTTTCTTCTTTTTAAGTATTTATTGAATTATATCTGTAATTATTCTTCTTCCATTTGACTAGAGAGACAGAAATAAAGTTTGAAAGCAAGCTGCCAGATCTGGGACTCGAACCACGGTCAGCCATGTGGGAGTCCAGCACCCGAATCCCCGGCCACCTGCCAGCCCCAAGCAGCTACATATTTAGACACCAGGACTTTCTCAAAGTCTGCAGAGAATGTCTCTGCACCCTCCGATTTTGGACATGCACACACATGCACCTGATGTCTTTCTCAAGCCACTGAGTCTGGGACTTGAACCACGTGGATGGTCATGTGGGATCCACGGACCCTCATCACCAGGCCGTGGAGCCAGCCAAATCCTCCGTTATTATTTACAACTCTACAAAGAACATCGGTGGCCATGTCTTCGTTTTTTAAATTTCGTTCTTTTTTTTTTCTGCTCTTAGTTTTTTGCTACAGGACACATCAGTCCACTGGAGAGAGAGAACGAAAGAGGAAAAGTGAGAAAGTGCACCCCCGTCCTTGGGGATGGCCACATCAGCAATCCCTTCTCTTTCCCCCTCACCATTTTGGGCACACACACACACACGTGCCCAGCATGTTTCTGAAGTTGCCAGGCCCAGGATTCGAACCATATAGTCAGACAGGTGGGATCCAGCCACCTTCACCACTGCACCACTGACTGGCCCTATTTTGTTCTTTTAAATTATTTCTCTAGGACAAATTCCCAGTGATAAAATGAATAAACCAGAACACAGGGGCCAGCATGGCGTGATGGTTAAGGCACTGGACTCCCACGTGGCTGACCACAGTTCAAGTCCCAGACTCCGGTGGCTCAAAAGTTCCAGGTATGTGTATGTGCATGCCCAAAATCTCAAGAGAATGGAGGGCGAGGGACTGTGGCACGGCCATTCCCCCTGGCAGTGAGGGAGAGTGTGATTTCTCCCTTTCCTTCTCTCTGTCTCTCTCTGGTGAGCGCATGCACCCTATGGCAAAATCCTGAAAATAAATAATAAATCAGAGAACAAAAAAAAATGTTTGAGCCACCACAGTGGCACAGTGACAAAGCAATGCTCATTCCACAATGCTAAAACCACATGGGGTTGTGTCCCAAGGTCTCCTGTACATACCGGGTGTATGCATGAGTCTATTAATCTGGAGGTGGACTCAGGCATGGGGACCCTGTTGGACCGCCCCTTTCTCTCTCTCTCTCTCTCTCATGTAAAAAATAAATTAACTTAAAAAAAAAAAATGCTGAATGCCATAATACTTGAAAAAAAAAAGGACACCCCCCCTACATAGCCATCCCCGGCAGGAATGAACAGTTCTTTTTTTTTTTTTTGCTACAGGGCGCATGCGCTCACCAGAGACAGAAAGCGAGAAATCACCCCCCAGGGTGGATGGCTGCGCTGCAATCCCTTCTTCTCCATTCTCCTCTCAGGATCTTGGGCACGCACGGACAGGTGCCTGGCATGAGTTTAAGCCACTGGATCCAGGACTCGAACCATGGTTGACTACATAGGACTCCAGCGACACAGCCACTACGCTAACTGCTGGGCCCAGGAGTGAGCAGTTCTATCAGGCCCTCTCCACTTCTGGATGTCTCTGAGCGTCTCGGGCTTTCCCGTTAGCGTGCAGAAGAGTGTCCTTCCTGTTGCTTACTCGTTCCGCCTGTGCCCCGGCCCGCTCCTTCACCTACTTGTCTGCCGGGCCCAGAGTTCCCCGTACAGCTGAGGGACAGACTACACACAGCAGAGCAACTTCCCGATTACCTCCTTCTTTTTAAAAAATAATTATTTAATTTTGTGTATTATTATTATTATTATTTAAATTCTTTTTGCTGTAGGCTGTGTGCATTTGCCGAAAAGACAGACAGACAGAAAGCAAGAAATCACCCCTCAGGGCAGATGGCCATGCCACAATCCCTTCTCCATTCTCTTCTTGGGATTTTGGGCATGTATGCACAAGCACTCGCCCTGAGTTTTAAGTCACCGGGTCTGGGGCTCGAATTGCGGTCGACTAGGTGGGAGTCCAGCTACGTAACCACTACCCATCTACTGGTCCTGTTTGTTTGTTTGTTTTTCTTTCATTTCTTTTGGGGCACATGCGCTTGCCAGAGAGACAAAGGCAGAGAAAGAGAAGAAAAGAAAGCAAACCACCAGGTCTAGGACTCAAGCTGTGGTCAGCCGTGTGGGTGGGAAACCAGCCCCCCAATCACCATGCCAGCTGCTGGTCTCCAGCTTCTTCTTCTTTTTGTAAGAATTATTTTATTTAACTTTATTTATTTATTTTTAATTAGACCAGGTAGTGACAGAATGAGAGAAGGGAGAAAGTGAGAAAGCAAGCTGCAAGGTCCAGGACTCGAACCGCAGTCAGTCATATGGGAGTCCAGTGCATTAACCACCACATCACCTGCCAGCCCCAACTTTTTAAAAAAAAAATTATTTATTTTATGGCCCAACAGGTTGTATAGTGATGGTTTGGGCACTGGACACTCCCATGTGACCAATCACAGTGTGAGTCCTGGACCTGGTGGCTTACTTTCTCACTTTCCTCCTCTATGTCTGTCTCTTTCTGGTCAAATAAAAAAAAAAAGTGAATGAATAAGTAAATAAAATAAAATTAATTTTTTTAAAAAGAATGAATTATTTTATTATTAATTATTATTATTTAAATTCGCCAGAGAGGAAGAGAAAGCAAGCCACCGGGTCCAAGACTTGAACTGTGGTTGACTATGTGGGAGTCCAGGCCTTAACCACTACACCACCTGCCAGTCTCCAACCTCACAGCAGTTGGCCTAATAGCTATGTCGCTGGACTCCCATGTAGTCGACCACAGTTCAAGTCCCAGATTCAGTGACTTAAACTCACACCAGGTGCATGTGCGTGCGTGCCCACGATCCCGAGAGGAGAATGGAGGAGAAGGGATTGCGGCGTGGCCATCCCCCCCTGGGGGGGTGATTTCTCGCTTTCTGTCTCTCTGTCTTTCTGGTGAGCGCACACACCCTATAGCAAAAAAACTCTCAAAAAAAAATTATTACTGTAAATACAAAGTTTTATACATTTCTATACGTTCAAGCCTATTGCTTTTTTTCAATTTATCTGATCCAGTAATTTTTCAGACCGTTTCCTAACTGCTCTCCAGACCTGGCTTACGTGTCCTGGAAATGACGAGTGTATCAGGCCAGGCCCACAGCCTCACAGTGAAGGGAGCCAGTCCCACACGGCTGACTGTAGTTCGAACCCCGGCCCCTTGCAGCTTGAAAGTCATGCTTGGTATATGTGCGTGCCCCAGACCTTGAACGGATGGAGAAACGGAGAAGGTGTTACAGCGTGACCGCGCCCTATCGGGGGTGCTTTTCCCATTTCTCTGCCTCTCTAGACAGTGCATGCGCCCTATGGCAATGGGAAAAAGATAGAAAATCCACATACACTGAAGAAACTAGAAGCCCAGCTAAGAGAGTCTCCGAGCATGGAGGGTAACGTGCTGACAGTATTCCGGTCCAACTCCGCCCCACGCAGTCCCGACTGTAAGGACCCGGGGGTGTCCCAGAGCGCGCCCTGGCAGGGCACGTTACCTGAGGTAGGTGGGGGGCTCTGTGCTGATGGACACAGCCTTGTACTTCTCATCGTTGCCGTCCAGGATCTCTTCCACTTCCGAGGCTTTCAACAGAGTCACACTGGTGGCGAGGGTGGTGTACCCGTGATCTGTAAGGAGACGGCGCTGCGGTTACCCTGCTGGGGCCGGTGGCGGCAGCAGCCGAGTGGAGGCAGCACATCCAGGACCTCACATGCGGGAGGTGGGAAGCGAGGTGGCAGTCAGACTCACTACTGCCGAAGGCTGGCCTCTTCCAAAAGGGCAGTCTGGCCTTGGAAGTCCTACGGGGTGGCGCTCCCACGGGGATGCGTTCGGACTGCTTTGCCCCCGGAGCATGAGCTCAGGAGCAGAGGATGGGCTCAGGGCAGCTGCGGCACTGGTCGCTGCAGCCCAGCCAGCCCAGCCAGCAGGGACTCAGGACACCAGGATAGTCTCCTGGTCCTCATTCAGGGGAGAGGAAGGCTCCAGAGTAACACCCCAGTGGGAAGAGGTCTGACACTACCGCAATCCACAACACGAAGCGAGGTGGGAGGTGGGATGGAAGATGAAGGATACTTTTTCTTTTAAAACAAGAGCCCAGAGGTGGAAAGAGCTGCTTCACACCAAACGTGAATTCCCGTCCCGGAGCCGGCCAGGCGGGCTGTCTGGAGAGTAGGACGGATTCTAGGTAACACGCGCCCCCATAGCTCTTCTAGGGGATTCGGCCAAGAGCTGCCCCTTGTCTGCGGGTCCAGCCTGGCTGCCCCTGGAGCATCAGACGGTTACAGGGAAGGTACCTCCAAAGCACGAGGTGGAAGAGTCGCCGAGACTTCACCCGGGGACTGCCGAGGGATTGCAAAGCTAGGACTCACTGCGTTAGTGACTGGTGCTCCCCTGGGGCAGGAGCAGGGGAACAAAAAGGAAACCGTTTTAAGCAAGTTAAGTGGAAACGTTACAGCGGCGGATCAAAAGGCAGCTCTGGCTCCTGCATTAAAAGAATCACTACTCTGTCCGCGGTGGACAAAGCCACAGCGGCACCTACGGACACAACCACACAGGACAGCCTGCAAAGCACGGTGCATGCGCACGCGCACACGCACACACAGGGCTCAGGGCAGCTCTCTACAAGGCGTGTCACCAAGTGGGTCTGCCAAATGGCACACAGTGTACACGCCCAGACGGCCCCATGGGAGGGTCTCCTGGTGTCCAAGGCCATCCTTTGGCCCTGCACAGAGCTGCCACGGCCCAAAGCCCACCAGTCTCACGAATGACGGGCAGCTCAAGCAGCAAGCCCCCGGCACACGGCAGGACACACCAGGCAGGGTCATGCACATGGGCTCTGGCGCGCTGGCTGCCAGGAGGAGGTGCTACGGATGGAGGTGCTCGGAGAGGCAAGCAGTGAAAGCCCCAGAGGGGAGTGGGCGCTGGGCCCCCACCCGCCACTCAGGCTGCATGGAGGATGACTATGGAGACACGCTCACAGCAGAGGCAGAGCATCGCAGCATTCCTAAAACGTTTTGAGACCAAGATGTCTTCACAGCGCCTGCCATGGTCCCCGTCCCGGTCCCACGCCCGGCCCTCTGCGCGCCCACCAGCCCGCTGGAAATATCTGACTATGGAAATGCCCCGCCAGGGGATCCCTGGGCCCGCTGTCCACCTAGGGCCCCCGCCCCTGGGATGCTCCTTGCCCGACCGCGGTCGAGGCCGCAGTGAAGACACGCTGGAGTGAAAACGTTTTATCTCCGTGACATAAGCGAGTGGTTTTGAAACAGGTTTACAAACCCTCGTGAAGACGCACCCTTAGTGTTAGGTTTTGTTTTTTTACCATGTGACGATGCAACTATTTTCTTCCTCTCCTCCACAGTGGCTAGTCGCCTCCAGAGTGAGGGGTATCTCTTGTACAGAGAACCTCGGAACATCCGGAGGTAGTTTCCCACCTGCGAGTGAAGCGAGAAGGCTCATTACGAGGGTCGCATGTCATCGACGCCACAGAGGAGGGTCCTGGCGCAGAGGTTCCGTGGGATCAAGCGGCAGATAAACAGGTCCCCAGATGCCGGGGCTTTCGGCAGCAATAAAACACATTCTGCTGACACCGAGGGTTCAACAGCAGTGCACATCTGGCCCACATCTGTGTAGCTGACGAGACGCGTTCTCCACGGCCTGGCCAGCTGTCTGCCAGGAAGGCTCCCACAGCTCACCCGGAGCTTAGCAAGAAGTTCCTAGTGATTTTCATCTCGGACTAAAACGATCGCTGGCACTTTCCAGAATTGGAAGGCCTCCTTGACCTTCTTTTATCTTAAGAACAAAACTTTGATATTTTTACGACATAATAAACACCAAAAAGTCTTTTAATTTTAGACAGATGCGGGATCATTTCCCCCACGGCCCGTGTCGCTTTGTTTAGTAACAAAACTCAGACCAGGGATTTACCAAAGGAATGTTCCAAAGAGCTTAAAAAGCATTTATTGGCAATCATCAGACGGCTTTAATAAATCATTACTTCCCCAAAGCTTTGGTTTACTCGTACCAAATACTGAAAGGATGACTCCTTTAATGAAACGGAATCTAGGCCTAATTGTTTTCATAAAGACATCTCACTGTCTTTTTCACTGTTCAGAAATGACCGCTTCCGAGTCACACCGTGGAAGACAGCTAGTGACAGGGAGCCAGGTGCTGGCTCCATCTGTGACCTGCAACTGCTTCCCTTTTCTTTTTATGGAGAGGATTTTTGCTATAGGGCGCGTGCACTCGCCAGACAGAGACAGAGAGACAGAAAGTGAGAAATCACCCCCCTGGGGGGATGGCCATGCCGTAATCCCTTCTCCTCCATTCTCCTCTCGGGATCTTGGGCATGCACGTACACACGCCTGGCGTGAATTTAAGCCACCGGGTCCAGGACTTGAACTGCGATTGGCTACATGGGAGTTCAGCGACATAGCCATTACGCTAACTGCTGGTCCCCCCTTTTCTGAATCTACTCATCGTCAGGTGCTCAGTAACTCTCTGAACTTCGCCCCACAAAAGACCACTATGTGTGTGTGTGTGTGTGTTTTTTTAACCATTTTACTTATCCAGTGTATTATTATTTATTACATAGAAATGCATTTCTTGGGCCAGCAGGAGGCATGGTGACTAGGCACTGGACTCCCACGTGACCGACTGCAGTTCGGGTCCCTGACCTGACGGTTTGCTTTCTCACTTTGTCTCTCTCTCTCTCTCTCTCTGTGTCTCTCTGTGGTAAGAACACATGCCCTACAGCAAATTAAAAATAATACTGGGGGAGATCAGCAGGTGGCATGGTGGTTAAGGTGCTGGACACTCACACATGGCCAACCATGGTTCGAGTCCCAGACCTGGCGGCTTGCTTTCTCACTTACGCTCTCTCTCTTTCTCTCTCTCTCTGTGTCTCTCTCTGGTCAAATTAAAATAAACAAATGAATAAATACAATTCAATAAATAATTCTTTAAAAAAAAATAATAATACTGGGACCAACAAATGGCATAATGGTTACATTGCTGGACTTCCACATAGTCAACTGCGGTTTGAGTCCTGGGCCCAGCAGCTTAAAACTCATGCCAGACGTGTGTGTGTGCGTGCGTGCATGCATGTGTGTCTCAAAGATCCCGAGAGGAAAATGGAGCAGAAGGAATTGCAGCATGGCCATCCCCCCGGGAGGTGATTTCTCACTTTCCATTTCTGTCTGTCTCTCCAGTGAGCGCACGCATCCTATACCAAAAAATCTCTCTCAAAAGATAAAAATAAATAAAATTAAACAAATAATTATTTTAAAAAAAGAAATGCACTTCTCCATTTTCCATTAATGAAAGACTTACGCGCGGTGGGGGGGAGAGGGTCTCTTCACAGAAGTCAGAGAATCCACACTGGCCCGGGCTGGGTTAGTGGCAAACTGAACCACAGGGCTGGAAGTCTCAGGGCTGACTGCTTCGGAGGCCCAGGCAGGGCCTGTGCAGGGGCTTATGATCCTCAAGGGCCGTAGGGCTGGGGAAGGAGACTGACCGCGGAGTGAAGAGGCCTGTCAAGGGTGCCCCTGCCTCTCCCCAGTGTGCGTGCAGGGGCAACCAGGAATAAAATAAGTTTGAAAAATGCATATGCTATGAAGAAACTGCGTGTGGATTTCAAAAATGTCTTGCATCACAATACATTCATACTTCCATTTTCCACAAACTTTCTTGTTGGTTTGTCTGAATTTGCTCTAGGGCACCTGCTCTCATCAGTAGGGAGGGGGTGTAAGAAATGACCCCCTCGGGGAGGTGGCCACAGCACTGTCCCTTTCCCTCATTCTCCTCTTGACATTTTGGGCACCCAGAGTGTTTTTCAAGACCACCAGGTCTGGGACTCGAACTGCACAGTCCCCCACCACAAGGGATCCAGCCACCTTAGCACCACTGGCCAGCCCTCCACGAATGGAAGCCCCCTCATATGGTCAATAACCAGAGCTGCTGAACACCCCGAGGGGAGCGCTGTCACAGCGGGTACCCAGCACATGAGCACAGACCCCTTGGTGTTACTGGTTTGGGGTCCTTACCATCCAGGGGCACACACCATTCCCACTCCGCTTTTTAAAAGAAAAACGCTCATTTCTTTGACTGCCCTGCAAGTCCTGTAGGTCACTAGGATTCCTAGGCCTTTCCCAAGGCCCCTCCCCAGCTTAGGAAACAAGGGCTTGCGTTCCTCATTGGCCCTGGAATCAGTCTTTGCCCTCTCTGGACTTGGGTTTCCTGAAGATGCCAGGGGGCCAGCAGGTGGCATGGTGGTTAAAGTGCTGGATTCCAACCACGGTTCAAGTCCTAGGCCTTGGTGGCTTGAAAATGACAACAGATAGAAAGATAGATAGATAGATATTTTAAAAAAAGGGAGGGGGGGAGATGGCATGGTGGTTGTGGTACTGGACGTGGCTGACTGGTTCGAGTCCTGGACCTGGAGGCTTGAAATTCAGGCTAGGTGCATGTGCATGTGTGCCCAAAACTCGGAGAGGAGAATGGAGGAGAAGCGACTGTGGCGTGGCCACCCCCCGGGGATGTTCTTTCTTACTTTCTTTGTCTATGTCTCCGGTGAGCATACGCATTATATAGCAATACAATCTCTCTTAAAAAAAAAAGGGGGGGGGGACCAACAGTTAGCGTAATGGCTATGTCACTGGACTCCCATGTAGTCAACCGCGGTTCGAGTCCCGGACCCAGTGGCTTAAAACTCACGCCGGGCGCGTGTGCATGCGTGCCCAAGATCCCGAGAGGAGAATGGAGGAGAAGGGATTGCGGCGTGACCATCCCCCCTGGGGGGTGATTTCTCGCTTTCTGTCTCTATGTCTCTCCCTGTCTGTCTGGCGAGCGCACATGCCCTGTAGTGAAAAACCTCTCCAAAAAAAAAAAAATGGAGATGCTAGATTCGGGGATTTCTAGGGTCCTCTCATCAGCTCTGTTACTCTGGCTGGGATGTTGGGAGGGAGGGTGACACACACTAATAGCAACCGAGATATCCTCCCAAGCAGCCTCACGGATGTCACACAGAGGCCCCAGGTGTGCTGTTGCGGCCAGCCCACCTCTAAACACGGTCCCTGTTTCCCATGGGGAGCAGAGCTGGGGGCAGGCCAGGCGATAACCGGCACAGGAGCTATGATCGTAAGCCTTCCTTAAACCCCAGAAGTCTGATCATCGTTAAGCCGGGCCTCAGAGAGCAAACCAGCCCTCCAGCTGGGTCTCTACGACCTAGATCACAGGGTGAGTTTTCCCACTCAACAGGAGGGGGAGAGGAGTGAAGGGGCTGAAAGAGAAGCCTAATTAGCCGTGCAGAACCCAAGATGTGTTTGAGGAGAGATCTTAGAGACCATCTAGTCTACGCATCTCATTATAAACCTGAGAAAAGTGAC